TATCATGCGAATTCCTGAGGTCAGATGGCCCAGGATGTGAGTGGGCGTTAAGGCATCTGGGGAGGGATCTCAAAACTGGATTAAAGATGGCAGAAAGTTGGTGTCGTAAACCACCGCCTCTGTTCAAAGATGGTCGCTCTTCTTTGCAAGCTCCTTTGATTTTATTGAACCTTCTGACAGATAAAAAAAAAACCAAAAAAAAAAAACAACCCACACTGCATGTACATTTGCATGTTTTTGTTTTTGCATCCTTCGCTTTGTACAAAGAGAAGCAGGATGAGCCCTATAAAATAACCTCCAGCAGGCAGCTGTGGCTCATGGGGCAGATCAGCTACTGATCGGAAGGTTGGTGGTTCGATCCTTGGCTTCCCCAGTCTGCATGCCAAATATCCTTGGGCAAGATACTAACCCCAAGTTGCGTTCATCGGAGTGTGAATGTGTGTGAATGTAGTTTAATTTGCACTTGTGTTTAGAAGGGAATGGGTGAATGTATACAGCTTTCAGTACTCTGGGAGAGTAGAAAAGCACTATATAAGAATCAGTCCATTTACCATTTCAGTCCACTGGTGTGAATGTCTGTGACCAAACATCACAAAGAGACTTCGTGGAGACTTTATAAGGGTCTAACATCCTCTAATGGGTCCTGTGCTCACTGTGCGGCACTGCAGAGCCTGAATGGCATTTACCAGAATACCAGAATCAGTAGGTCCACCCTGTGATTTTGACAAATGAGAACAGGCTGACTCTGAGCAAATGTGTCAGACATGAAAGGGTCTGGAGAAGCTGTGGAGAACATTATGCTGTCTGTAATACTGTCCTCGTGGCCAGTTTGTTGGTGGATCTGTGCAGGTCTGAGGAGGCATATCCATGTTGTTTGCCTCCCTATTTGTCAGACCCTACACTACTGCAGTGAATCCTGGGTTCCTCCTGGTGTATGGCAATGCCTGTAGGATGAAGTAACTAATACAACTAACTGGCTCCATGCTCACCTGGAGCCAGTCAGTTGAGACATTATGTCTCTGAGACATTATTGTTATCCAGCGTCTCATTAGCAGCACGCCCTGTGTTCCAAAGTCGGGGCCATACATTAGGGCCCAGCTCTGAAGTTAGGTGTTAGGTGAAGTCGAGGTGTTTCTGAATTCAGAGTCAGCAATGTTGCATACCTTTGTTGTACCTTTGTTTCTAACACAATACCCAGTCATTATATACCCAAATCCGTATTTGTGGATTATAGACATTTTTTTATTATAAATTATAATAAAAAAATAGACATTTTGGGAAAAAAATTGAAATATAAAATTCCAAAAATCACTGTCATTTACATGGTCTAAACAAATTCTGAAAAATATTTTCTTAAGAAGGTTAAGAGCAGTAATGGATTGCATTTAACCAGTGAAAAAATATTAAAATAACTTTTTTTTCCTTCTGTGATGACCCCCATTAGTTATTCCCATAGTAATGGCTATTCTTCAGGACAAAACATTCAAGCATCACGTTAGCCAATCCACAATAT